CCATTGGTGTAAAGCAGAACAGCTCTCTCCTCTCCACCATACCTCTCTCTCTCTTTTTTCTCTCTCTCTCTTTCTCTCTCTCTCTGTCTCCCTCTTTCTCTCTGTCTCTCTTTTTCTTTCTCTCTGTCTCTCTTTTTCTCTCTCTCTGTCTCTCTGTTCTCTTTCTATGTCCTCTCTCTCTGTCTTTCTCTCTCCTGTCTCTCTCTATCTCTCTCATGCTCCCTTTCTCTCTCTTTGTCTGTCTCTCTCTCTGTCTGACTCTCTTTCTCTCTCTCTCTCTTTCTCTCTCTCTCTCTGTCCTCTCTCTTTCTATGTCTCTTTTTCTTTTTCTTTCTCTGTCTTTCTCTTTCTCTCTTTTTCTTTCTCTCTCTCTTTCTGTCTCTCTTTTTCTCTCTCTCTCTGTTCTCTCTGTCTATGTCCTCTCTCTCTGTCTTTGTCTCTCCTGTCTCTCTCTATCTCTCTCATGCTCCCTTTCTCTCTCCTCTGTCTCTCTCTTTCTCATGCTCCCTTTGTCTCTCTCTCTTTGTCTCTGACTCTCTTTCTCTCTCTCTCTCTCTCTGTCCTCTTTCTCAGTCTCTTTTTCTTTCTCTGTCTTTCTCTTTCTCTCTTTTTCTTTCTCTCTCTCTTTCTGTCTCTCTTTTTCTCTCTCTGTCTCTCTGTCCTCTCTCTCATTCTATGTCCTCTCTCTGTCTTTCTCTCTCCTCTGTCTCTCTCTCTTTCTCATGCTCCCTTTCTCTCTCCTCTGTCTCTTTCTTTCTCATGCTCTCTTTCTCTCTCTCTCTCTTTGTCTGTCTCTCTCTTTCTCTCTCTTTGTCTATCTCTCTCTTTTTTCTCTCTCTGTATCTTTCTCTCTGTCTCTCTCTCTCTCTTTTCTCTCTCCTCTGTCTCTCTGTCTCTCTCTCTCTCTCTGTCTTGCTCTCTTTCACGCTCCCTGGGCAGCATGCTTTTAGAGGGGTGGACCCCAACTCCCAGAATTCCATAAGATAGTATGGTTGAAGACCCCCATAATTCCCTTACAAGAGGCTACGTGGCCCACAGCCCTGGGTCGTTTCTCAATCTCATTGCTTCCAATGTGCCGGAGAGCAAAGAGAATAATTGCTCTCTTATTACAATCCCTTTCTCTCCGATCTCTCTGCCCTGCGAGAGATGCCAGAAGTTCTCTCGGCCATTTTTAACTTCCCTCTTCCCGCTGCGGTATCGACATCTCACCGATCTTGACGGGGAAGCCGGGTGGCAGGCGAAGCGTGATGAAATCCCGGAGTTTGGCGAAAAGGGCGTTGCTGACCGCCATGAGGTCAATGATGGGGGCCACCTGCTCGGCCAGGGATAGCGGGTGGTCTTCGCACAGCCACAACTTGGCTTTGAACCTGGGGTGGGGGAGAGACAGGAAGGGGAGGCAGGGAGGGGGTGAGGAAGGGTCTCTCAAAAAAAACCCCAGCCCAAATGCCCCCCCCCCCGCTCTGCTCTGCTCTCACTTTTGTGTCTTGGTGGTGAGTTCAACGGGTCGCCCCATATCCCGGGTCCCCAGCTCAAAATTGGGGTTGAAGTATTCCTCGGGCGTGATGGCCGTGGGGTTGGCGTGGCTCAGCGTCTGAGTGATGAGAGCCTGCAGAGGGTCAGAGAGAAGATGGGGGTGTGTGACGGGGGTCCCCACCACCGGAGAAGCACCTTCCGGGGGGGGGGGGAAACTGAGGCCAAGTGGCCGCTTTACCCAGAATCACAGAATCGGCATTAAGAGAGCTCCTAAGAGATCATCTAGCCCAGCCCGCTGCAGGATTCGCTACAGCAAACTCTTTTTCTTTCTTTTTTTTCAAAAGGTTTAACACCCTCCCCCCACCCCAAAAACAGCTGAAGGGCCTGCCAGTTACTCACCCCATTGTTGGGCCCCACGTGTTGCTCGGCGATGCCCAGGAACGACTGCAGCGGGGTTTTGCCACCTGGAAGAGAGGAAAGCTGTGAAAAGGGAGGACTTTGAATGTGTGGGTGGCACATCTGGGGCACAACGGAGTGGTGCTCGTGGCCTAGAGGTGGCGCTCTCGCCTCACAATCAGGAGGCTGTGAGTTCAATCCTAGGTAAGGCGGATATTTCTCTCTCTGGGCATAATGAGAATACATCTGCCGAAACAAAACTCCGCGTCGGTGACAAGAAAGGCATCTGGCCAGTAACACACACTCAGCTCAGCTCCATTGTGTAGTTTTGTTTTCTTTTTAATTAGCATTATTTCTAATTAGACCCGTGTCCAGACACCCCAGGGAAAACAGGGTGAACAGAGAGACTACGGAAAATCAAAATAAATGACACTCAATCCCTGACTTACAACAGTTCATTTAGTGACAATTTGAAGTTATGACAGCACTGAAAAAAGAGAATTATTATGACTGTTGTTCCCTCTTACCGTGGTCATGGGATCAAAATTCGGAGGCTCAGCAACCGACTCATATTTATGACGATCACAGCATCCCGGGGTCACATGATCCCCTTTTGCGACCTTCTGACCAGCAAAGTCAATGGGGGAAGCCGGATTCACTTAATGACCGGGTTACTAATTTAACCATGGCACTGATTCGCTTAACAACTCAGGCAAGGAAGTTGTAGAATGGGCAACGGTCTCGCTTAGCCACATAAATTTTGGGCTGATAGCTGTCGGAAGTCGAGGACTTTAAGACTTTAAAGTATTATTAATTATGGTACATTCATATTTATTACTTATATTATTTTATATAATATATACTTATATATAACTTTACATAATTTATATATCTATATCTACATCTATTATATATCTATATCTACATCTACAATCTATCTATATCTCTATCAATCATCTATCTATCCTATCTCTATCTTATCTATCATCTATCTTCTATCTATCTATCTATCTATCTATCTATCTATCTATCTATCTATCTATCTATCATCTATCTATCTATCTATCTATCAATCTATCTAATTATAGTAATAATTAAATATTAAACCGATGTTAAAAATAGGAAGAATGATATCTATCTATCTCTAAGGAGGTTTTAAAGTACTATTAATTATAGTACATTCATATTTATTACTAATTATATTATTTTATATAATATATACTTATATATAACTTTACATAATTTATATATCTATATCTATATCTACATCTACAATCTATCTATATCTCTATCAATCATCTTTCTATCCTCTATCTTTCTATCCTCTATCTTATCTATCTATCTATCTATCTATCTATCTATCTATCTATCTATCTATCTATCTATCTATCTATCTATCTATCNGGGTGAACAGAGAGACTACGGAAAAGCAAAATAAATGACACTCAATCCCTGACTTACAACAGTTCATTTAGTGACCATTTGAAGTTATGACAGCACTGGAAAAAAAGAGACTTATTATGACTCTTGTTCCCTCTTACGACCATGGATCCGGTGATCACGGGCTCAAAATTCAGACGCTCAGCAACCAACTCATATTTATGACGATCGCAGCGTCTCAGGGTCACATGATCCCCTTTTGCGACCTTCTGACCAGCAAAGTCAATGGGGGAAGCCGGGTTCACTTAACGACCGGGTTACTAATTTAACCATGGCACTGATTTGCTTAACAACTCAGGCAAGAAAGTTGTAGAATGGGCAACGGTCTCGCTTAGCCACATAAATTTTGGGCTCAATTGGACTTTAAGATTTTTTTAAAGTATTATTAATTATAGTACATTCATATTTATTACTTATATTATTTTATATAATATATACATATATAACTACATAATTTATATATCTATATCTATATCTACAATCTATCTATATCTATATCAATCATCTATCTATCCTATCTCTATCTTATCTATCTATTATCTATCTATCTATCTATCTATCTATCTATCTATCTATCTATCTATCTATCTATCTATCTATCTATCTAATAATAGTAATAATTAAATGATTAAACCGATGTTAAAAATAGGAGGAATTGTATCTATATCTTTAGATACAGGAGGTTTTAAAGTATCATTAATTAGAGTAAATTCATATTTATTACTAATTATATAATTTTATATAATATATGATGATATATAATGTTATATAATGTTATATATCTATATACTGTATATCTATCTATATTTATATCTATGTCTATTCTCTCTCTCTCTATCATCTATCTATCTCTCTATCTCTCTATCTCTCTATCTCTCTATCTATCTATCTAATTATAGTAATAATTAAATGATTAAACCGATGTTAAAAATAGGAGGAATTATATCTATCTTTAAGGAGGTTTTAAAGTATTATTAATTATAGTAAATTCATATTTATTACTAATTATATAATTTTATATACTTATCTCTATATATTGTATATTTATCTATCTACCTATCATCCATCTATATCTATCTATCTATCTATCTATCTATCTATCTATCTATCTATCTATCTATCATCCATCTATCTATCTATCATCTACCTACCTACCTACCTACCTACCTACCTACCTATTTATCTATCTATCTCTATCATCTACTATATCTATCTATCTATCTATCTATCTATCTATCTATCTATCTATCTATCTATCTATCTATCTATCTATTATCTATCTCCCTCTATCATATCTCTACCTATCCA